AATTCACGTAAATAGAGACACAGATATGTGCAAATAAGGTTAACGCCAGTCACTTTCCGCGCCACGGTCATCAAGTGTATTCAGTTGGAATCACAACAAGTGCGGTTGTTGGAGCAACAATAATTACGAGCTGAGCAAACGTTAATTAAATAGACAAGTGTATCGTTTAGACGTGCTGGATTTTCGTAAAAAAGTCGTTTAGATGTTCTCTAGAATGAGAATGTTTGATGTTGATGAGTTGATAGACTTATTGAGGAGGACCAGTCTATATTTGGACGTGGGATGTTTATCTGATGTTGATGTTGATGTGATGATGTATGTTGACGTTGAGTGAGTGATGTTGATGTTTGACATGGTTGATGTTCGCGAGTCGTTTAATCTGGATGGTTCGAATAAGAGTTTGCACTTGTTGGAAAGATCCGATGTTGACCGTTGAATCAGTTGAAGGTGTGGATGTTTGATTGTGATAGTTGATGTGTTGGATGTTGGATGATTAATGATAGTTGGATTTTGTTATGTGATTGATGAGGGTTTGCAGTTGGAATGTTGAAAGTTGAATCGTTGAATAGGATTGCAAGATTGATGTTATGGTGAGGTTGATGTATGGTATGGTTGATGTTGAATCGTTGATGGTTGATGTGTGATTGCGTTGATGTTCATCGTTCTGATGTGATGTTGATTGGATGATGTTGAGGTTGATGCTTGAGTTGATTTGATGATTGGATGTTGATGTGATTTGATGATGATGTTGACGATTGAATGCCTGATGTTGATGTTGATACCTTGGGAGGCAGACTAACGTCGCCACTATATACGGGTACGCAACCAGTCAGGCAAGCGTAGTCATTGCGAGATATGGAGAGTCATCACTGGCCTACACCTAACACACGCGCGACGAGAAATACCAATATCTTGGTGTAACGCGGGCTACAAGGTGACTAGGAATATCTACAAGACAGAATGAAGAGACCATTGCTAAAGGATTATTATCGCGGAGGCGCACAACAAGCCACACAAACGATTCGTACACACGCATACACACACACACAACGAACATACCACGGTGCACACCACACACACACAACAGCACACACACCACACACACACAGAACACATACGTAACCAACACATACATACCACACGCACGCCCGCGCCTACGTGACGCAGCACACACACACACACACCCAAACACAAGGATACACAAACAACAGCAGACACCACAGGCACACATACACATCAAACACACACACCATCACACACACAAACACAAACACACACACACAATCTCCACACACAAACACACACACCGCACACACACAGACAACAGTCAACCACACACAAACACACAACATACACAGCAACACCACACACAACACACACAATACACGACCACACAACAACACGCACACACACAAACACACACATACACGTACACATACGGACGCACACGCATGTAAGACATGTGTGGCCAATAGGTAAACTAGGAGAGCAATGAAGCGGGTGCGAGAGAACAGGATGCATTAACCGAGTTATAGCCACCCAGTAGTAGAATAAGGTAGGCACGCGCTGTCCTATTTCCTGCACATTCACACAGCACACCACACACACACACACACACACACACAGCCACACACACCAGGCACACACATACAACCACAAAACACATACACAAGCACACAAACACGATACACACACTCACATATATTATAAATATAATATAATGTATAGAGCGACGGTACACCTGACACGGTACCAGCACGCGCGCACACCCGTCACGCACGCACGCCGCCATGCCGACGCGACACCAGTCACTGTGTCACGACCCGCATGCGTCGCGTTAAAAACTCGTCTGTGTAAAAATATAGCTAGAAACAGTGACCTAACCTAACCTCCAGCGTCAGCGAAGTACCCCGGTCCACATATATACCGCGCACACAGAGAGAACGAGAGGGAAAGAGAACGAGAGAGAACGAGAGGAAGAGAGAACGAGAGAGATAAAGAGAGCGAGCGAGAGAACGCGAGAGTTGCTTTTTCAGTCGATGAGATTTTCGCTTGTCATCATGAAAACTTGTAAGTTGACTCAATCTCTCTACTTCGTCTGGGGTTTTCCCCTTTTTTCACTTATAGGGGAGTTAGCGTTAGTCATACATCGTATAACATAGCATACGAGTGAATATATACAAGATCCGGTATGTGTTCTCACGCAGGGATCAGAAATATCAGAAATATCGATGGCTTTTGGATAGATTAGCAATACTGTAATGTAGGAAATGACTATGGCTCTATATATAACTATATTACGGGACGTTTCTGTTTACAACAGCTCATGCGTGTTTACTAGATTGTTTATTTGGCATGTTAGCGTTCTGGTTTTGTTTGTACGTTAGCAGTCATATCCTCAGGTACCGTTCGAATTTACGGGGACGTTGACTGGTGTTTGTTCAGGTATGGACCTTGTTTGTAGTTATAGGTACGCTGATTGTGGTTTATGCAGGTTATGTGTTGCTCTATATAGTAGCTGATCTTGTGGTTTAATGCAGTATGAATGTTGTTTGTATCTATATAGGTACGCTGACTGTGGTTCCTTCAGGTATAAATGTTGTTTGTAACTACTGGTACGCTGATTGTAGTTCCTTTAGGTATGAATGTTGTTTGTATCTATATAGGTACGCTGATTGTGGTTTATGCAGGTATGAATGTTGTTTGTAACTATATAGGTACGCTGATTGTGGTTTCTTTAGGTATGAATGTTGTTTGTATCTATATAGGTACGCTGATTGTGGTTTATGCAGGTATGAATGTTGTTTGTATCTATATAGGTACGGATTGTGGTTTATGAGGTAATGAATTGTTTGTATTTATAAGGTTACGCACCCTGATTGTGTTTATCCAGTATGAATGTGTTGTATCTATATAGTACCGATTGTTGTACTTTCGGTATGAATGGTTGTTTGTTATCTATATAGGACCGCGATTGTGGTTTATCAGGTATGAATGTTGTTTGTATCTATATAGTACGCTGAATTGTAGTTCCTTAGGTATGACATTTTGTTTGTAACTACAGGTACCTGATTGTATGTCATCAGGTATGGAAATTTTTAGTTTTTTCAGGTACGCGGCGCTGATTACGGGTTTGCTCAGGTATTAATGTTGTTTGTATGAACGGTACGCTCTCCTGGTTGTGATATGTTAGCCGCTACGTAAGTACATGTATATGATACCAATAACAGAGAATTAAATCATATAAACAATATCAGAAATATAATAAATTCTATAATTAATAGATCTATTAAATATTCATGAATCTAAATAATTAATAAAATCTAATAATGCTATAATTTATAAATATTAGTCACAGCTTCCTGATAAATATATGAGTGGTCTGACCACGGGTAGGTGCACATCAGACCAAGCGTAAAGATAAACTAGGTTCAGCTTTCAATTTTCTCAACGTAAGATTATGTGAAGAATATCACAGGTGTGGTTGATATCGTTCAACCATATTGTAGTTCATACATAACCACACACACTACCACCACACACAACACCACACACACACACAGCACACACACACACACAGCACACCACCGCAGACAGCACACACACACCACCCCCCCCCCGGGACACACACTACAGCCACTCCCCCCCCCCCACTAATATTTATATATTATTATTATTGTATTATAATTAGTCATGTTTTTCTAACGTACTACCGACGTCTATGCTATGATGTAGAGTAACAGCAAGAAATGGCAGGACGGGGGCGACTGGAGCGCCGCCCTGCGAGCTACAGTGACGGGGTTGAACGCGGACACGGCGTACGACGTCGCCATCCAGTCGAAAGTGTTCGCAGGCAGAGCGGGGAAACCCGGGCCCTGGATCACCACGAGGACGCTGTGCGACGGTATGACGTGTAGACAGTGGTGTGCGCTGACGTGTGCAGCGTTTGCGATGACGTAAACAATGTGTATGTTGGCGTGTGGAATGTGTGCGATGACGTGTGAATATGTGCGATGACTTGTATAATATGTGCGATGACGTGTGGAATATGTGCGATGACGTATAGAACATCTGGGATGACGTATGCAATGTTTGCGATTGTATGTCGTGCACAGATAGATAAATCCATCTCTCTTTCATCGCCAACAATATTCCATGTAGTTATAGTACCTTATAATACACGCTAATAAATATACATCTATATATTTATACATAACGCATGTTATACTCTATGCACAACTAATTTTATTCTAACTACATGTCTGTAACCATGTCGTTGTCGTATCAGATCCACCGGACGATTTCTGCGTCACGTGTCACGAGCTGGAGGTCGTCCACGTGACCAGCAGCGAGATTCGGGTCACGTGGGAGGTGAGCGACGCACGGGATTGTTTAACAGCGTAGCTAGTGTTTATAGAAGAGAAACGGCGCGTCAGAATACACGAGGACTAATAATGTTCTTTTGTTTTGTGAAAAATATGTTAATTAATCTCATTTAAATTCCGATCAATACTCGTCGTAATTTTTGATTTTCGATACACATAATCATCGCGTATATCTCTCCGATTTTCGATCGTTGTTCTTTGATCGCTAATCTTCGATCTTCTTTCCTGCACAGAAACCAAACCAGGTGTTCTGTGGAGTAGCGCACTACTATATTGGCTTCAACACGTCGGACGGACACTACCGCGCTCTACCCATCCTTAGCAGCGTCAATCAGTACACGGTGAGGTACCTGAAGCCCTTCACAGACTACACGATCTCACTGAAGGCAGTGACCAGCGCTAACTTCGTATCGGCCGTCTACGGGGTGAACGTGACCACGGCCGAGGATCGTGAGTGTGCGGCAGCAGCGGGCTCTCTCTCTGTCTGTCTCTAAACATCAACATCAACATCAACATCAACATCAACCTCAACATCAACGTCAACATCATCATCAACATCAACATCAACATCAAGATAAACATCAACGTCAACGTCAACATCAACATCAACATCAACATTCTCATTCTCAACACCAATTAAATCACCACGTCTAAACGACTAATTGTTATTGTAATTAACGTTAGTGTGTAATTATTGTTGTCACAACCGCCGACTGTGTGATCAACTGATCATACGTGCGAAAAGAGTTAAATTGACTACGTCACGAATTTTCTATGGTAAAATTTGTAAAATGTTTGTTGCCATTTTTTTACATTAAAAGTAAGAACTAACGGGACTAAACGTATCGTCAAATTCTTACCTGATAAGATTGTTTCTCAACTAGTTAAAAATCCAAAAAAACCAGGACGATTTGATATTGTGTTCTTGACATCAATTGCTTGCTATGGGCTATGTATGAGTCACGAGTGCATGTTCACATCAAACAATATAATAAAATAGGAAGTATAATGCAGCAATTTAACCATAAAAAGTGAACAGAATTACTTATATTTTGTGAAAAAGTGGAAATGCATTTTTTATTTTTACTTTTTACGGTGAGGTAATCACTTTAAAGAGAGTGCGCATCCTCAGGCACTGACCCCCGCTGGCGTGCGGCGACACGTACCGCTTAGACTGGTTCCCGGTCGTTCTCGTGCTGAGGAAACGACGAGGAACAGGTCAGAGCGCCGCGACACTGGGCGAGCGCGCTCTGCGCTCTGAGAAAGTGGTTCAATTTAGATGGAAGAATAATTGCACTGGTGATATTTCCGGGGGAAGGGCATGCTACTTGTCTTTTCTGCGTACGTTTTCGAGGCACCCTGCTGTTAACAGAACAACAGAAAGACGTGAGAGTGTTAGAGTCCCACACCGTATCTGTATATACACCGCATCAGTTCTAAGCACCTCTATAAAACGGACACCTGTCTACAAAGAACACTATTGGTGTTACCCCCGTGAGGCGGTCACGCAGTGAAACCGACTCTAGTATAGAAGCAACACCGATCCATAACGAACACGTTTGCCCAGTGTGGCAGTTACCCAGTGATTTGCTGATATGATATATTTGCATACGTTTGATTGATTCATATTGATACATTTTGCAGATGAATATATCACAAATGTAAAGCAGTGATACGTAACAGTCTTTTAAGCGGTGACAACTACAGTTTATATTCTAAGTATAGACAAATAACACAGTAAAAACAGTGTACAACATACCAGTTAGAGGCTGTCGTCGTCTCTCTCTTGTTTCTACCAAAACCGCGCCTTTTTAAGCCGTGAGCATTGCCGCCGCGATCTTTTTTAGACTTAATTAACCCAGGTCGCGGTCAATGGATAAAGTGACCGGGCGCGATAGTGTCCGATGCTACCATGTACCATCGTCGATCACCTTGGACGTTGCCTGCCTAATGATGGACGTTTTACAAACCGCGCCGCATTTTTGTTGAAGTTAATGTGTTCGTAGTATTCTGAGATGCATGACTTTCCTCTACGGCCAACGAGCTTTTTATGATGTAGCTAATGTACTCTGTGTCCATCCCCGCGGCATTACTAATGTCGTCAAATTCTCTATGTCTCTATGCCTACGTTAAAACGCCGTATTACAATTTCACCTAGAGCTATAAAACGGACATCTGTCTACAAAGGACAATGCCGTGATTCTTATATAATTATAATTATATTACCCCCTTATAATTATATATTCTATTATATATTAATAATTAATAATAATATTAACCAATTAATATTATTTATTTAATAATTAATAATATAAATAATTATATAATTCAATACTAATCAATATTAATAATTAATCAATAATATTTATATATTATTATTATTGTATTATAATTAGTCATGTTTTTCTAACGTACTACCGACGTCTATGCTATGATGTAGAGTAACAGCAAGAAATGGCAGGACGGTGGCGACTGGAGCGCCGCCCTGCGAGCTACAGTGACGGGGTTGAACGCGGACACGGCGTACGACGTCGCCATCCAGTCGAAAGTGTTCGCAGGCAGAGCGGGGAAACCCGGGCCCTGGATCACCACGAGGACGCTGTGCGACGGTATGACGTGTAGACAGTGGTGTGCGCTGACGTGTGCAGCGTTTGCGATGACGTAAACAATGTGTATGTTGGCGTGTGGAATGTGTGCGATGACGTGTGAATATGTGCGATGACTTGTATAATATGTGCGATGACGTGTGGACTGTGTGCGATGATGTGTGGAATATGTGCGATGACGTATAGAACATGTGGGATGACGTATGAAATGTTTGCGATTGTATGTCGTGCACAGATAGATAAATCGATCTCTCATTCATCGCCAACAATATTCCATGTAGTTAGTACCTTATAATACACGCTAATAAATATACATATATATATATTTATACATAACGCATGTTATACTCTATGCACAACTAATTTTATTTTAACTACATGTCTGTAACCATGTCGTTGTCGTATCAGATCCACCGGACGATTTCTGCGTCACGTGTCACGAGCTGGAGGTCGTCCACGTGACCAGCAGCGAGATTCGGGTCACGTGGGAGGTGAGCAACGCACGGGATTGGTTAACAGCGTAGCTAGTGTTTATAGAAGAGAAACGGACGTGGAATTGCGCGTCAGAATACACGATGACTAATAATGTTCTTTTGTTTTGTGAAAAATATGTTAATTAATCTCATTTAAATTTCCGATCAATACTCGTCGTAATTTTCGATTTTCGATACACATAATCATCGCGTATATCTCTCTGATTTTCGATCGTTGTTCTTTGATCGCTAATCTTCGATCTTCTTTCCTGCACAGAAACCAAACCAGGTGTTCTGTGGAGTAGCGCACTACTATATTGGCTTCAACACGTCGGACGGACACTACCGCGCTCTACCCATCCTTAGCAGCGTCAATCAGTACACGGTGAGGTACCTGAAGCCCTTCACAGACTACACGATCTCACTGAAGGCAGTGACCAGCGCTAACTTCGTATCGGCCGTCTACGGGGTGAACGTGACCACGGCCGAGGATCGTGAGTGTGCGGCAGCAGCGGGCTCTCTCTCTGTCTGTCTCTCTGTGTGTGTTTGTCTGTCTCTCTCTCTCTCGCTCTCTCTTTATTTCGCTCTCTGTTTCTCTTTCGCTCTCTGTTTCTCTTTCGCTTTCTTGTTCTCGCTTTCTCTTTCTCTTTCTCTCTCTCTCTGTTTCTTTTTATTTCGCGGTCTCGCTCTCCCACCCACCTCCTCTCTCTTTCTGTTTCTCTCTCTCTCTCTCTCTCTCTCTCTCCTTCTCTCCTTCTCTCTCTCT